GCATTGGGTTTTGTTATGATTTATGATATGGTGTTTTTATCGATTTATGTTCATTGTCCACATGCTACTTGTAAAAGCTCTTGTCCACTATTTTTCTTGATTTTTTTTTGGTTGCTAATATATGTCAGAAATTTGGAGCCGTAAATTACGTTTTCAGGATACAAAACCAACATTAAGTACAAATTGTAGTTGAAGAATTAGGAAAACCCCAACACTACTAAGGATAGACAACTCCTAAACTCTCCCTTTCTTCGGTTTTGTTGATTTTGTTTTGTGAATCGTATGTGTTTATGAGTTTTGGGGTTTTTGAGTTTTGAAGTTGAGTGTGGTTGGCTAATATCTGTATAATGTACTAGTTGAAGGGAGGTTATCAGATATTTAGTTTATACTTTTGGTGGGTAGATATAATGTTGGTTGTTTGTGATTTAAGAGCTTCTGTTGGGTTAATGAGCTTCATACTATCACTTGTTTGGGACTCTGTAATTTAGCCTTTCTAATAAAAAATTGTATATATTTAGTTTGTTGTTTAGCAGTGTTTCGTTTTTTCTTCGTGAAATACTTAATCTTTTCTAAATTCTCTGTTAATTGCTTATTTTGGCATTCCTTGATCATTTCTACCTGAGTAGACCCTCTGTTGTGTGAGCTTTATAGGTTTATGGCTTATCAATGTCTATAATTTTTCAAAAATTGCTAGCTCCTCAATTTTTATTTTCTTCAAGGTTGGGAAGCCAAGTTTAAAAATCACTAAAAGTATATAAATTAATTCTACTATGTTAAAAAGGCTTGTTTTGGAGTTTCTTCTGACTTTATTTTATTCAGATGGCAAATGATAAGTTGAAACATGAACGAGAGCCCCCTGGCTCTACTTCACCATTACAACGGATCAAAGAAAGTGAAATCTCGGTTCAAAGTAATGAACCTAATGATGTGTCTAACTTCGTGGGGAACCTTAATAATACTAGTGCTGCTGGAGCTGATGATATAACCATTCCAAGTATGACGATGCCGTTTTCACTTTTTCCTTTTGAAGACATTCATGGAACGAATAACCCTTATGCCATGGAAATGCCGCTGACTGATATTAATTGGATGACTGATCTCACTCTACCATTCAGCAACCCTCAGGATCCAATGTTTGACTATGATTCTGTATATGGGAAGGGTAGTAAACTGGTCCAACATAAGCCAGATTCAAATTTTATCGGTTTGGATGTGAAGCAAACTGATCGTCCTCTTGATTATTCAATGCCTCCTTCTAAAGTGGTCAGTGCTATGTCTGATGTGGACGTTATTCAGAAACCTCCTGTTGACAGGAAATTAGTAACTGCTAATGGAAACTCAGCTGCAGCCTTATATGGTATACAGCAGAATGAAGAACTAAATAGAAATATAGGCAGGCCTCAGCTGTTTAGAAATTTCATAAGCGATGGAGTTAGCACCCCTGTGCCAGGCCATACCATAGATGGCTTAGGCATGGCAACAAATAACAATTTCATGACAACCGAAGTTCAAGAGGATTGTCCAGAAAACCTTGATGTCAGTTTCCTAACCCTGGGGATTGAGCGGAAGACAGAGGATTTATCTAAATCTAATAGATCAGAAACAAATGTTGCTATTAATTTTGGAAGGGATGCCCTTCCTCAACCAAATATTTTCTATAGTCGAAAAGAAGAAAGAAATTTCTTCGATCCCTCTGATGTAGCTGGTGGTTTGCCTTGTCATCAGAACACCGCAGGTGGATTCAACGGGCTGACAAACAACGTTGGTAGCTGAACTTTTTCTAATAAAAATATAACAGTATGTATGATGCTAGTTCTAGTCCTAGGTGCATTCTGAATCCACCTTATTTTGCGCAGATGCCACAAGATGACAGCCAACATCATTTTGTTATGCCGGGAAACAGGAATGTTGCTCTTGGAGTTGAAGGGAACTGGGATACAAAATCTGCATATAATGATCCTAGTAACTGTTTTCAGGGTTACCCAGATGTATCTTTAATTCCTTTTGGTAGCAGCTTATCCGCGCTTCCCGATTCTGGAGAGAGCAGAGCATATGGTTTGCCATCATTCTCTTTTTCGAGTACAAGTACTTGTCCACCTGCATTTGAAACTTCTAGAAACCTCGTTGCTGATCTTGGCATGGTTTTTCCTCCTTTTGGTGCCTCAAGAAGCACTTCCCTGCACGATCAGTTTGGTGAGTCTGGAATGCTTCCACCATGCTCTCCTTTTTATTGGTGTATTACATAATGGAAATTTTTGGTTGCATGTTTTAGTTTCACTTCTGGACTGTTATATTCTGTACATAGATACTTATGATGTTTGATAATGGCCAAGGCCAATGGTTGTGAGATCTTGGACCACTACTGTGGTGTACCATGGAAGCTTTGAATTAAGTTAGTGATAGTAATCAAAATAGGGTTAATATTTTGGGGGGTCTAACAGGTTTTCTTATTTTACTTCCTTCATGAACTTGAATATGGTTTTTTATTTTGCAAGGATGACCCCTCTTGGATGCTTAGTGTCACGAGGGGTCTTTTGGCCATTAGAGTAGGGCCTTGGAGGAATTTCTTGATTATTTTCCTGCCACCAAATCTAGAATCTGGCTTTATGTAGTGGAGTTTCATCTAAGGGTCATGTTTGGTCAGCTGGAGTGTTAATTGTTTAGGTGTTCTAACCCCCCGTGAAGGGAGAGAATCTCTCTTCTTGATTGGAGCTGTAGTTTCAGGGTTAGTAGGATGGATGCCATACAAGTATAAGTAAGGTCAGTGAACAAGTGTACCATCTGTTTGGGTCCCTATCCGTTGAGGTCATATACACTTGGTCAGTACGGACTTCAGGGTTTTTTTATATTTTTTTTTATGTTTTTACTAAGTTAAACTCTTTCAACCTTTTTCTTTCCGATGCTGTAACCTCATTGACGCTGAACTTCTACTTAAAAGTACGTTATATTCTCTCAACTATTTTCATTGTGATTCTATAATCTTATTGAAGATATGCGCTTTTTATATTTAATAAAATTTAGTACACCCGAGTGTGCAGGTAACTAATATATGGTCACTTATGCGACATTGAAACCACTAGGTATTACACATGATACTTGTGAGGTGTGACTCGTCAATAGTCATTGTCCCTGAGGAACACATTATAGGAATTATTGGCTTATGAGATAACAGTTTGGTTATAAAATTTTCTCTCATCCAAATATCACTAAAAATTTGAGTAGAATCAAGTATGTAACAAGCTACCTTGATTCGCCATTACTGTTTTGATTGATTTGAAGAACTGAGTTGTAGTTACTCTTTGTACTGTTCTCACATATTGGGTAACCACAGAGCAACTTCGTTGGTTTTCGAATATTGCAGAAGGAACCCCATGATGAGAACAACAAAATAGTCGAATATATAAAGACTTCTGAGTACTACTACTGGGATTAACATAAGTGCTCAATATGCTTGACATATCATGTCTTTTTGGGTAGCCTTGACCAAAGTTCTTTCGCATGGTTGGTTCAGCTTCAGGTTGCTTTGCACACTAATAAGTCACTCAACCCATGTTTATAGTTTTAAGCAGGCAAACTATGGTGATAAGTGGTATTAAGAAATTGTATGCAACAAACCGATCTGCTGTTGCTACCTTAACTTTTATTTGTTTATGTAAAGTAGTGACTTGCTAAAAGTTCCATTGTATGTAGCTTTCCTGGTGACTGACACTGCAACTCTCTTTAGGGAAGCCTTTGGCAACTAATGAGGTTATTGCTGCAGAACTTGCTGAAAGAGGCGATGTTCCTGGGAAATTCAGGTTTAGCCAGCTACCTAGTAAGTCCATCTTACTTATATAACTCGCAATGTTGTATTTATGCAACCATTTCATCCTTAACATAGTAACTTTTGTGGTCTTTTTGTGCTTTTTTATAACAAATACTATCCTGTGGTTTTTGTATTTGTATGAAAAAATAAACCAGAAATAGGTTGACAGTAGAATTAGCTCGGCAAATGTTGTAATCAAGTGTGGAACACTGTCAGTGCACATATTCTTACATGATTTGATTTATAGCTGATTGATAGAAAGGGACCAAAGATTGAGGAAGATGGGTAAAATGATAATTGTGCTAGAGTGAAGTTATATAGCATTGACTGATAGGTATCATGAATAGGACTTGTTTTTTGAATTCCAATATTGATTCAGAACTCGTATTAGCCCATGACACACCAGTGGCTGGCACTTGTTTGCAAAGAAAGCAATCTTATAGAGTGATAAAAAAAACTTGGTAATGCATTGGATGGATACTTTTCAGGTAATTATTGTCAACCTCAAGTCATTGGTGCTGTTCATCCATCTACAAACCTTTCTAGATCCATGAGGACTGGTACGTTACGATTGAAACTCTTAAGTCTTGATCATGCTTTAATATACCTCTGCATATGCTGTTATTTTGATAACTTGCACAATTTTAGGTGAAGAGTTTTTAGTTACCAAATGTAATAGAACTGCGCAAGGTTCTAGTGCTTTTGTTGGAACACATCTTAAGAGGGTTGCTGAACAACCACGAGCAGTGACTGCCAGAGCTCAACTGTTAAAGAGAAGAAGAACTCAATCTTCTGTCGATTCATCTGCTCCAATGTTGTCCCTGAATGTTTCAACCGTCCCAAATTCATCCAAGGCCTCTTCTTTCACAGTCCCAGATCCTACAGCTCCATCCCTCCCGTGGGAAACGAGAAGTACTACATCACTCTCACCCCTATTGCAGATTTCTCACACTCTCCCAGCCCAAGGAAGAAGTACTCCATTATTGCCACCCCTGTCACAGACTACTTTTGCCCTACCAACCCCAGTCAGACGTACTGCAGTACTCCCGGCCTTATCCCAGATTGCTCCCTCTCTGCCATCCCGAGTGAAAACTACTAAATCACACCCACCTCTATCCTTGACTGCTCCATGTCTCAGACCCAAAGCCAAAACTACTACATCGCACCCAGCCCTATGCCAGAATGCTCCCTCTTTCCTACCTGTACCCCAAATTGCTCCTCAACTTGCATCACACCCAAACCTGTCCTGGAATGCTCCCTCTTTCCGACCCCAAGTCCGAATTGTCCCCCCACTCCCATCACAACCTTGGGCTGCTCCACCAGTCCCACAGATATCTCAGAATGCTTCAGCACTCCCACCAAAATCTCAGTCTGCTTCATCACTCTCTCCCCGGACTGCTCAACCTCCCCTTCCACAACCCCAGATTGTTCCCCCTCTCCTACCCAAACGCCAGACTGGTCTACCTCCCCCACTTCAACCCCAGACTGCTGCACCCCCTCTCCCACCACAATCCCGGACTGCTTCAGCGGTACATATAAAATGGAAAGGTTAGCTTCATTCTTGTTTCACTTTAACAATTTTTTCTTCATTATGTCTTTATTTCTAACCGTACATTGATATTTTAAAATTTTCAGCAAAGTTGTTTTAAATGATACAAGTGTTGATTATGCGAGTACAAACAATTTGACATGTCATGCTATTTCTAGTCATGGTTTTCTCTCAACCCATTAGAGCACATTTAATGCAACATGAGTAAAAGACCTGCTATGCCACATGGCCTAAATGCGTACACTTCTCAAGTTAAGTTTAAATTGTAGGATCATTCTCTGGCAACATGAGTAAAAGACCTGCTAGTCATGGTTTTCCCAGGTTGTGTTCGGATGAGCATACTTGAGGCCTTCTTTTGCAGTTTATACAACTGCTTCCGATAGGTTTTAAAATAATTGAATACTGCAACACACACTTAAAGTTTGGAAGTCTAGGCATACCTGAGACATATATACTACTAAATCTGTTATTTTTTAAAATTATCTGATACATACTACATATGGTACTGTAATGATTTTGATGGTTAGTAACATGTATAGTACCGAAATATATGTGATGATAGTAGGAATTTTATTTCTTTTGCAGGTTTTGGTCAAACTCAACCAAGTGGGCACAAGTGTTTGATATGCAAGAGGGATCTTTCCTTCACACCTGAAGGCCCTGTTTCCATACCAACTATTCAACCAGTTGTTGCTGTTCTACCGTGTGGCCACACATTTCATGACCACTGCTTGCAGCTTATCACCCCTGCAGACCAAGCTAAAAATCCTCCGTGCATTCCTTGTGCCATCGGTGACAATTGATTCCTTGTGCCGTTGGTGAGAGTTGACTTGTGCCCTGGGAGAGTGTTGATTCGAGTCTTGGTTCATAACATGTTGAATCCTCCATGCCTTGTGGCACTAGTCATGAGAAATTCCTCTTCTAAATTTTGTTCGAACAGTCGGTAGCAGGGGAAAGATTTGTGGTGACAATTTCAGACCTGCTTTACCTTTTCATTAAGGCTCATAAGGTGATTTGGTGCATAAGTATATATAGCTCATTAAGAATTGTATAGGCGAGTAACCCTTTCGTTAGAATGATGTGTACTTTTGAATTATATCAGCTCAATTTCCGGCCCTTGAGTTCTACCTCTTATCATCTTCATGTCACATGATGTGTACTTTTGAATTATATCGCCGCAAGGATACGAGCAATGCTCGGTTCGGGCTCAACTTCTCGCTTTACGTTAGCGGACATACAGGTCGGGCGGAGGCTCTGTCCTCTTTCTTTCTGCGTGGGACGATGCCGGGGCAGCCATGATGGCGTTGAGAATTAACAGCCGCATGATGTATGTCTTCAAAACTTGTAAAGATGAGATCAATTAAATTAGTTAATTGAGTAGGTTAAGTTAATTAATTATACGCACATAAGACGACGTATTAGGCCTTAAAGTGAGTTTTGGATTCCTAGGTCTATTTAGGCCAGTAACTCAAGTTGTCCATGACAACCAAAGTAAGAAAGCCCAAGAGGCCCACCTGAACTGGTCGGTTTTGGGGGTTTATTGGTGAGGGTTTCACGCTTTTGACTGGCCATTGTAAGACACTCCACCAAACTACGGGGTTTTGAAGAACAAGGAGAATGACGGAGAGCCACCATTCGCCTTCTTCTCTCTATAAAATTTGGTCACTACGGTAAGGAAGTGATAGCATTTTCTCTCTGCTAAATGGAATCTAAATTAATTGACATTTGTTAAAGATGATCTTTGAATGACAATAAAGAAGTAAACTAATATCACGTCGTTGTACAAGTAGTAATGATTTCTTATACGTAAGATGCATAAAAGAGAGTCTCTCATATTGCAAATATATATATACTTGAAGCAAAATTGCTCATGTGCAGATATTCTTTACTGTAGTGACGAAAAACAATAATATCTATCCTCCTCCCCTAACATTTAACAATATATAAAAACAGATGCTGATGCACCGCAAGGATATGCTCTTCCAATAGTGAACAAGCTATGAAAAAAACAATACTATTATTTGTCATTTAAACAGACGAGGAAATAAAAAAAGAAAACAGGAAAACCAGATTAACACCCCTCCCCTAATATAATATAGTATTGGGTTTATAATAATAATAATAATAAAGTGAGAAATATTGGACAGTATTATCTAAAGTACCTATTAATACAATTATCTTCGTCAATTAAAAGATGATGAAAAAACTATTTAGTCTTCTATCACACAAAAAAACAATAATGGACTTCAATGTAATTTTACATATCCAAATTTTATTTTTTATTTTATTAAAACTTCACCTACAAATAATGTTAAGCGATGCACACATTCTCTCTCTCCGTCCCTACTTCTTATTTTAAAAATAAAAAAAAATTCGTGCAGAATATTAAATTTAGACTAGCGTAAAAGCCATAATTCATATCAATCTACATCCTCTAAACGTGTTTAATACGATTAGAAAGCATGCAAGAAAATGGGAAGGGGGGGGGGGGCCCGGACACCGAGTGGCAATGGCAGATAGAAGGGTCAACTGTTAGCCTCAGGTCGCCTACCAAATGCCAAATCTGAACCGTCAAAAATACGACATGAACATGGGATGGAAGTGGTCCCGGTCCATCGTGTTCATCGACCCAACAAAACAATTATCTGCTCGTTTTTCTAGGTGAGGAATCAAACAAGAAAAACGCTCAAATAAAATACCAAACCAACAAGAACAAGAACAACTCTCTCTCTCTCTCTCTCTCCTGAATAGTTTGTGTTTCGATGGAGAGGGAGAATATTAATATTAGTAGAGATGTTGATGGGGGGAAGAAGGGCGGTGATGGGGGTTTGGAAGGATTTGCAGTCGTCTCTTCCACAAGGATTGACTGGAAACCCAGAAGGAGATCACTAATATCATCAGGTACTTACCCTACTTCTTCTTTCCTTCGTTTCATCTACTAGGGTTGCCATATTTACATCTTTCTCTGTTTCTCCAATTGGGCTTTTTTTTTAAAATTAATTACTAATACATGAAGAATTTTTAAGATATGCATACATATATACACCTCCCATCACAAATTCCTCCACAATTAGATGCATGTTTTTGCATCATCTTTCTTAAATTTTGCATGTAATTTATACACTTTATTCAACAGTTTGAAGCTGAATTTGTTTACGAAGAAATAAGGATATTCGTTAAATGAATCCATAACCCTAAATCATAATTATCACCACGAATCGAAGCCGCACCGTCACAGAAGCTGAATTAATTCTTGCATCTATCACTCATTTCATTTTATCGTGTTTTTAATTTATTGCTTGATTAATTGTAAAATTCTAACATGATTACTAAGATTAAAAATAAAACAGTCCTTAATTTGGGCTGGAGAGAGAGAGAGAGAGATAAAATTGTTGTTGAAGAGTTGCTGACTTTGCTCATTCGCTACTTCAAAATGGAGCAAAGTCAGCAACTCTTCAACAACAGTTGAATCTCTCTCTCTCTCTCTCTCATTATTATTAGGTGCATTTAATTGCAATTTACATTTCAATTTCTTTTCATTTCTGGCCTGTAATCTTTGACGTCTTCAAAGGATAATCATGCGCTACTATACTCGCGCAAAAATAAAATAAAAAAAGTAAATGCTAGGAGACAATCAATTTAATTCGTACTCTATACATTATATAACATGGTTATTTCTTATATTATTCAAATGACCATGACGATTTCTTTTCGTCCTTTGATTTTTCCTTGTACTACATATTTCATTCTTCAATAAGAGTGAGTTCATTTTAAATGTGTTTAGAGGTGATTTTGTTTAATTTTAATAAAAGTATTCCACGTTATGTCATTTGTTAATGAATTGCATATCGTAATTCAAAGATAAAAAAACAATAAAAACCAGAGTGTTTAGCCTTTTAGGCATAGCCATAGCCACGTTCGCTAAAAGTAGCTTGCTCCCCACTCTGCCCCCAAATACAAATCTCCCAAAAATCTACTATAGATTAGGAGTTCGTATAAAAGTGCTTTAAAATAACTGAAAACGTTTTTGGTGAAAATATTTTTGAAACCAATCCTTTGTAAAAACTTAAGTGGATCCTGAAAAAACACTTAAATGCTTTCTGCAAGAAGTACATATCTAGTGGTTCTTTCAAAAATCGCTTGAAGTGCTTTTAGAATCCAAAATCAGTTTCACCAAAAGCGTTTTCAATCATTTTAAAAACACTTCCAAACAAGCCCGAGTTCAATGTTAGAACATAAAAGTATTTCAATTTTCTTATCTTACCGTTTGGACAGATTTGAATACTATAATAATTCTATTACACACAAGTTAGATATTACCTAAATAATTACAAATCTCTTATCTAAACCTTAGTGCTAGTTACCCTATTTGGTGATCATATTATACTGTCTGATCCTTTCCATAGATGTTCATCTGGAAGTTGAGTCGACAGCTCCAAATACCTTGATACATACCACCCTAAGTTTCGGATGTCATCCGTCTATTGACTAGTTTTGGTAGTTCTTTCATTAAGAATATCCCCAAGTGTCGGATTTCATCCGTGTATCTAATCTGAGGAACATGGTATGTACAAGGATCGCCATACTGTCTCGATCATCTTTTCTATGCACCTGATCATGCACTTGTACAGGGTGTTCTTGGTACTATATTCTTCCTCAAGTTCGTGTGGTGAAATTCCTGCCCTTGTTGTTTTCCACATATCACTTAGTGCATACTATCATCCTGCATGTTCAATACATGGTACACAAATATATAGCAAATAGGGCCCAACCATCCATTCTGGTTTGAGCTTTTGATCTGCATCTCTAAATTCAATAGCACTAGAAAGTGAACTTGTTTCCCACAGCTCGCGGGAGGAATATAGACAAGGTAACAGGAGACACTGCTAATAATAGTCCCGACAAACAGGAAGTGCCCATCACTGAAGAGGAGATGCAGGACGTAACTGCTGCTCCTGAGCTCTCTGAACGTCGAAAGGCCCTTTTTGAACCCTTGGAACCTATAACAAATATCAATGGGAAGCGACCCTCAGCTGAATCCTTACTTCCTCCGCCAGACTTTGATGCCGCAACCTATCCTAAAGGGTGGTTGATTGGGAAAAAGAGGAAGCTAGTCAATGTCGATGTTGTTGAAAAGATGCGGAGGATTGCCGTTCAAGAAATGAACAGAAAGGTGTCATTTCCAAACAGGTCACATCGTCTCCAACCAAAGGAATTGCTTTGCAATATATTGAACTGCTATTATTTGTTATCTTTTCAGGATAGGGAGATTGACGGGCTAAATGAGCAGTTGGAAGAGGACGCCAGATGCCTAGAGCACCTGCAACTCCAACTCCTCCAAGAGCGAAGCAAGCGTTCGGACGTGGAGAGAGAGAACGCGATGCTGCAAGACCAGGTTACCATGCTCATGAACATGTTGCAAGACGACACCGTGGGCGATGAAGGCCCCGACGAGCCATAGATGTTGTTTGTTATTTGTCATTTGTTTGTTTATTCTTTTTGTACATTTGGTTGGAGAAAGTAGACACATACAAAGATACATTAGTGCAGGTGTTGATGCCCTCTGCACATGCTTGTTACTAAATTGTGAAGAGTCTTGCAGAAGTCATATATCAAAGTATATGTCCAAGCTGTATTTATCTTGGATAGTTTGTTTGTCAAATGAATGCCTCACCCACAGTCCAAGTTCGTTCTCCGCCACTGTCGCCAAAGGCTGATGCCGATCCGGCGCTAAAAACTCAGCGCCTTCATCTTTGTTAAACTAAAGCGATCATCAACAAGAAACAAAATTAACATAAAGTAGAGGATGATAAGCATCCTTCAGGATACGATTTGTATTTGTTGAAATATCTCACATCGATCGTATCTCAAAAAATACGAGTAATATCTCAACTCCACTATAACTAATACTGAGATCTTTTGGGATAAAACTTCACACCTAACAAACTGTGCAGGTGATAATTACCAAGTTGGGGACAATATAATGTTAGAAACAAGCATTTGGCCCGTCCTTCTGATCACTTTCATTTGCGCTCAGAAATAAACGCATTGAAAGTTGCAGTCCCGGAGGCAGCCAGGTAAACGAGATCAGTTTATCAAGAAAGAAGGCGTGCCGCAAGAAATCACAGAAGGGCAGACTTAAAGAGTGTATTACAAAACTCACATGGCTGTGGAAGAAAAGTTCATTGCATACAAAGGTAAGACAGGGCAGGACACACGAAAGACGGTAAGATTCTAGCAAGAACGAGGTCGGCATTATAAACACGTCGGGATTCTTCACCGACGTACATTTCTGAATCCCTAAGTTGTACACGTTTTATTAACAGACTCGAGAACCGCCATTTAGATTTCTATACTTTTGTACAAAGACTAATCCGGGATGGTAAATGGCTACTCCCTAGCCTAATTACATCATAAACTTATGACAAGTTAAACAGGAAATGAGGAAGGCTTGCTATCCTAGGAAGATTAAGAAGAAGCTCGCCGAATGAATCCCTTCTCGGTATGGTCACTTCCTGCTTGTCACCAGAATCATCCTTGGGCTCGCCCTTCGGTGCAGGAAAACCTTCTACAGGTTTGCTCTCATAAGCTGATGCAGAAGCAGAGTTAGTTTCCGCTGCTTTTCGACCATTGTTTCCATTCGACCAGTCATCACTTCTGGCCTGCAAGTTTAGATCTGTTGAAGGATCCTTCTGCAAGAGGCAGTAAAGGGAATTGACTCTTGACATAAGGGACTGCTCATCAGACGGTAATGGGAGTTGGGAATCACTGAACAAGTACTGAGTAATTTCCTCCAACATGTCTGAGCTAGGTTGTTCCTTGCCAGAAATGCAATTTCCAATGTGGCTTACGAAGTCGCTCACTGACATTGACGAGGGAAGTCCAGGAACTTTGATTTGATTGAACTTGCTGAGCATCTTTGAGGTTCCGGCAGTGTCCATCACTGTATATGAAATGGCGGTTAGACACAGAACTTGTGCCAATGTAGTTTCCATAACAAAATTGCACCACGAACGTGAATATCGTATGAAGTGCATACTTAAACTACTAGAGATTAACCAATAATGTGGAGGGAAAGATGGATGAACCAAGAATGTGATGTAGTGTGGTAGGAGGGATGAGGGAGAAATGCACATGAAATGTCATACAAAATGAATACGAAAAGCTAGAAAAGAAAACCTACTTAAAATTGTTTTCACACAAAATGAATACGATAACCTAGTAGAGAAAACCTACTTAAAACTGTTTTCAGCTTTCGTTTTTGGTTTTCATGCTGTGTACGTTCCATGTTAGTGTATTTCTGTACAAATTACATTGATTAACCAATTCGATTGCAAATCAACGTATGGAACATCATGTTTCAAATTCTCTCTTTTCTACACGTTACTTGTTTCTTTTCAGATCTTCTTATCCCTTATTCAGGAAAGTAACTCCTTTTATCCTTTGAATGGATAGTACCAGAAAAATAACCGACCCCAACCCTTTTATGAGCCAAAATCAAAGGGATGCTGATGAAGGGACTTCCAAACATAATTCTCAGTCTCTGTCTAATTGACTCATACTTTGCCAACATAATTTCTATTGCAAGGGATCAGTAAGTGATTTTGTTGCTATTTATTTCATATATACAGAGAGACAGAAGTGACCAGATGTATATGCTTCTAAGTTACTCGACGATACGAAGAAAAATGAAAAATAGTCAACTGCAAGAAATAAATAGGACAGCAAATGAATGGGAATAAAATCTTTAACCCAGAAACACACAAATTTTATTCATAAGTCATGAAAGATGAGTGTGAGAATTGAAATTTTAGCAAACATAGTGATTGAGCAACTTTGTAATACTAATGGTTAATTATTTATTTATCACCACAACAATTAACTCTCTTTTTAAGGTTTGCAGATTTACCTGAGGCAGACGAAGAAATTTCCTGGGAATAACTTTCAGGAGCTCTACCACTAAAATCTTGTTCATTCTTAAGTGGCGACGAATGAGCTCCAGAAGGTGATGCTGATTCCTGCAAACCAGATATAGCAGACCCCTCTTCAATCTTTGAACCAAACCGATGTCTATATTCATCATCAAGGTCACCTGTTACGGTAACTCTAGTATCGAAAAACGGAGATTCCAGCACAATTTCTGGCTGCTGGCTCAAAAAGTTGAGACGAGGATCACATTGAATAAGCTTTTCGAAATGCTTGCCCAAAAGCAACCCTTGTGGGCACTGCAAAAAATGTCGCCTTAAGACAAAAAAAGGGAAAAATCAAATTACAAATTTGGAACACAATCAATGAGACTTCTCCACACTCAATGGTATGCATAATCAGTTGCTAGCTACTAGATCATCCTAATTGAGGAGATTATCTGGGACATAATTGTGATCTTACATGGACGGTGGTTGTAAAAATTACGCTACAAGCTTTTCAATGTTTTAAAAAGTTCTCATAACTATGGTAACTACCACTGACGTTTCAAATAACGTGTAATCAAACTTGGGAACATTCCAACCAAGATTCTTGCTTAAAGCCATCTATATAGTCTCACTAGCTTCTTTCTTAAAGCTTCTCAATGTTCTACTAATACCTATACTGACTACAAGGTTAGATATACCTGTTCAAAGTGGCTTGTCCAGCGGTAAAATCAGACGTTGCCTGCCACAAGGTATGTTTCCTCGGCTGCGGATTGGTCTCCCTAAAGAAAAGAGGCGGTCTAGCAAGCTGCACCAAGAAAGAATATTAACAGATTATGAACCGGTAGGGCGTAATTTCTAAGGGGAAAAGACAATTAGGTTAGAGTGAACAATTACCACTACATCCAAACTCCCCGGTCCATCATCCGGGTAGTTCGCCTTGATAGCCACAACATCTGACCACTGAATTTCCATCTTGTTCTTAAGACTACCATCAAGTACTTCCCACACAAGTTTATGCTTGGCAAAATAACATTTCGCCACCAAATCTCCTTCGTACCTCGACTTATACTGCAGCAGAAAATCGATAATACTTGAATCCAACATCAACCATCAATACATCAAACAAAATCGAATACAGAAAACGTGTTCGTCTTGGAAACTATGATTTCACAATCAAATGGGAGTTATATACCTCCCAAGTCCCAATCCTTAGAAGGGAAGCCGGAAAGTTCATAGCCTTGAGCTTATCCGGCGCACTGGAAGCAGCTGCTCCCTTGTGACTTCTCTTGCCTAGTGTTGCCAATTTATCAGATTTTTGTTGGGACAGCTTCATCTGGATCAAATCCAAAAACGATGGACTTTTTTTGAGTTGCAAACCGAGTGGGCTCGGCTCATCCAGCGGATGGTACACCGACGCATCAACATCTCCCGGCATCTTAGACACAAACATCATAAAAAGATCAGCATACACTCAATACATCACATCAAATTTGAAAAATAACATTCTTCTCTCTCTGAAAACGACTCCTTCATCGGTTTGGTTGCAAAGAAAGTACAAGAAAATTTAAATAATTCAATTAAGCTAATTGAAAATCAAACACCACGGGAAAAAAATAATATCTACTCTTCCTGAAAATCAATCCCTAATGAGTAATCTGTTTGGTTGCCAGGAAAACTCAGGGAAATCAAATCAAATCAATTCAATTCAATTTGTGCAAATTGAAAATCAGATAATACGAAAACAAAATTGAAAAGAGATGAACTTATACCTGCGGAGACGAGTCGAGTTTGAGCCGTTTGTGACTCGGACCGAGTCGGGTGCCGGACGACTCATCGACGTCCAACTTCACCGTCACCTTTCGCGGACTCATTAGCTGAACCATCGGTTCTAGAATTCAAAACACCAACCTGACGCAGTTGCACAGCGAGTTAACTCAGCGACTTTCCCGTTCCAGAAACGTTTCTAAAATTCGCGTCAACGAAACAAAAACCGCGTGGCGGTGTCTCCCTTTCCTTTTAACGCAGAGGAGAGGAAGATGGATGTGCACAGTACGATCCCATGGACGGCCGTCACGTGCGTGGCTATTGTCCCAGGGATACGCCACGTGGGCGGACATAAATGGACCCGACTGGATTTACGTAAACGCCATTGGGTCTGGGCGGTGACTGTGCTCTTAGAGGCGGCCGGCGGCGTCAGAGGACGTCATCTAGTTTGGCGTTTTCTGCGGTGGTCGCGAAGCCAGGTGCGCCCACGTGCGTGTTTGGATAAAATTGTGGGGGCCCGCATCCCGAAGGTTCTGAGCTGTGCGGGGTGATTTGCCTGGTAATTGGGCCGGTGGCGATGATTGCGTGGAAGGTCCTGGACACGTAAGAATTTCAACCGAGGAAAGTCTGCCGACAGTGTTCTTGTGGATAAGGCTCAACACTTTCTTATCATACTTTCCTTTTTCCTTCTCTTTCTTTTCGTTTCTTACTTTTGGAAGTGGGACATGGATTCTGTCCGGATCCAATTGTCCAATTACTAGGGATCGATGAATCCGAACGATTAAAATTTGATCCAACGGTTACAGATAGAAGCTCACTCTAAAAGTTATAATAACTTTAACCGTTGGATCAAATTTCAATGATCTGAATTCATTGATCCCTAAGATTAGAACAATTGGATCCAGAGAGGATCCATGTCCTTGGAAGTGGATAATTTATCTGATTAAAATGGGTTATTTGCCTTCATTAAACGACAAGGAGATAT